CCTGCAGTAAAAGGTTCATTATGGGCTCCTGAGGAGCTCAGATCCATTCATATTGAGTGCTGATGTCCTGCTGTTGTGGGTTCGAGCCTAGGCCATGTGATCAGCTGAGTCCAGCGGAAGAGTGGCACTGGGGTTGGGTGCCTGCGGTCTCCCAGCAAGACACTCTCACTGCCCCAGTAACTGGTAGCTGGTGCTCTGAAAGGTGGCAGAGATGGGCAGTTGTGAAGCTAAGGCCTAAACACCTGGTTGCATTAAATGGTGCAAACAGGTCTGACTGAGGGAGTCGCCACTGAGGCTGACAGAATAGGTGTGAAGTCGGTCAGTCACAAGCAGGGCAGCAGTGACCCCTGGCGAAGGTCAGAAGCTGAGAGACACTCTCACAGCAGCTGTCTCACATCTGCACAGAGCCAGCGTGTGACAGGGAGAACGAGGGATCTGTCCAAGCAAGATACCCCTCACAGAGGAGGGAGAGACCACCTTCAGAATTAGAAAGGAACAGTGATCAGCTGTGTAAATGTTAGCTGTGGTATTGTGTGCAGTTTTCCTAGGGCTTCACCATACTTCACTGTGGTTTCCTGAGGTTTGCCTAATGCTTTACCACACAGCTCTTCCTGCTTGGCTGTGCTCTTCCCACGTCACGCCAAAGCAAACTGTGTAAGGGTCCCTGAAGAGGTGGCCCCAGCCACAGTCCTCGGGCAGAAGCTCAAGGGGTTCCCTAGAAACTGTCTTAGACCCCGAATGGGCTTCCCTTGGATATTGGGGTCTGCTCTGCTCTCTGCTGGTCTCAGACGAGGCTCCTTTTCCCGGACCAATCACCAGCGTCTTCTCTCCCGAATATGAACAAATATCTGGCGCCTCATGGCTTCAGCAAGATGGGGGCATTTTTTACAAAAGCAGGCAGGTGCCCATCTGGGTAAGAGATTCCTGCAAACTCAGGGAGGGATTTCCAGACACGCTCAATCCCTAAGGAACTGGAAGAGCTGTGTGGGACATCCTTTGAGGTTCTGTGCTGACAGGTTACGACGATTTCCATTCTATCACTGTATTTTCATGACATGAAAATGTCATAGACTATGATAAAAACAAAACCTTTTTATGATAAACACGTTTTCTACACTACACTGTACATCACAGGACTGCACTATGCTGCACAACACAGGACATCACTACACTACACTGTACATCACAGGACTGCACTATGCTACACAACACAGGACAGCACTACACTACACTG